GTATGTGTGTATGGGTGGGTGTATATGTATGTATTTGTGTGTGTATGTGTGTATATGTATGTATGTATGTATGTAGATATATATATATGTTTGTATATATATATATATATATATATATGTATGTGTGTGTATGTGGTTGGATATATATATATATATATATATATATATATATATGTATGTATGTGTGTATATGTATGTATGTGTGTGTATGTGTATATGTATGAGTATGTACATGTATATGTATGATAAAATCACGGCAGTATAATGGTCGGCCAGCATGGTTCGCTAGATTAGGTGCGACTGAGGAATGAGTTCGTTCCTCACTGGGTACCCCCTAATTTCGGCTTTGTGCCACGATATATTTGTATATATATATGTATGTGTATGTGTGTATGTATGTGTGTATATATATATGTATGCGTGTGTGCATATATATATATATATCTGTATGTCCTATTTTATTGTGTATGTGTATTTATATTTAAGTATATTTCTGTTTGTATGAATGTGTTTATATATTTGTATGTTAGACTATATGTATATTGCTGTGTGTTGGTGTTTGAAGGTATATTTATGTATCTATATGTTAGTTCGTTTATATATGTATTTGGTTGAATGTTGTTGTATCTTTATGTATGCATGTATATATGGGTAGTTGTTATTGTAGATAGATATATTTATTTATATATATATATGTTTATTTGTAGATATGTATGTATGTGTGTATATATATTTATGTATGTTTGTGTATGTATATATATATATATGTGTGTGTGTTGGCACCTATTATGTATGAGTTTGTTTGTGTGTGTGTGTGGGTATGGAAACTTTGGTATATCATGACTGTTTTTTATATATCTAAGTATGTGTGCATAAAAGTCTATGTGTATATATATGTGTGTGTATTTAGGTTTATATGTATATGTGCGTACATGTGTACTTGTTATCATAGATATGTATATGTACGTAAATGTTTATGTTTATATATTTATTTGTATGTATTTCTGTATGTATATGTATGTATGAGTATATATTTATGTGTGTTAATTTGTTTTTTTTTGCCGTGTATATATATATATATGTATATATTTGTGGATTTCTTTATCCTGTTTTTCTTTGCCAAATATATAATGAAACTATTATCAACTTATATGATTAATAATATATATATTTTTATTGATATCTATGGTTTTAGAATTTTCGTTTTAATATATTAAATAATATTATTTTAAACATTTTTATCTTTGTATATTTGCTCCCTTAAGTTATAATTCAATAAGTGGTTAGCATTTATTTAAGTCTAAAATATTTACTGGTTGTGTTTTCTCAATGTCTATGCCATTGTCTGTGGATGTATGTATGTGTATATATCGGTGTCTATGTGTATGTAGAGTGTATTCACATTTAACTGTGTGTGTGTATAAGTGTTAGTTTCCACGTCTCCTTTTTTCATAAAGGGCTGTAGAGATGTTCATGTATTCCCCCACCTCTCCTTTTTTTTTTTTTTTTTTTTTTTGTGTGTGTGTTTGTGTGTGTGTGTGTGTTTGTGTGTGTGTGTGTGTGTGTATCTAATTATGTCTGGATGCTTATGTATTATAATCTGATTGTGTTTTTGTTGTGTCACGCGTGAGTTTAAGACCATATTCACAAACTTTAAAATAAAAACGGAAAAGAAAGGGAAAAAGAAAAAATATATATACATGTATTATCAAATGACCGGATGTATTATAGCGTCTTGTCTTGTCGAACGTAATTTCAATGAAGAAATGAATTGAATAAACATATATATTTTTTCTTTTCTCAATAATTTTGTAGTTTTTAAACTTAATAGTGATTAAATTTGGATTTTAAAAATTGCCAGTTTTTAATTTTAATTTTAATATTAAATTTTATCATGTAAATTTATAATTATTAGTTAGTATAAATTATTTTTAATATTACACGTATTTAAAGATCTGAATAGCTATTAGAGCAGGATTTCGTTGTCAAGCTTTTGAATCTTTCTATACTTCGTTTTTGATTGGTTATTCTAGCTTTTGTAACAATGTTTCCCCCTAGTGTAGGATCGTTAATTAATCTGAAACTTTTAAAACCATTTATTTTCTTTTCAACATCATCACTTGATAAGACACAGAGTGTGTTGAAACAAAATGGCTATTTTTGTAGTGATTTTATAACATACTTATGTTATAATTTTTTTATAAAAATAATTATATATATATATATATATATATATATATATATATATATAAATCGTGTAGTAGCATAGGATAATTGTCCATCCCACAAAATGTTTAATATCTAAAAAACACTAAACTAATTGAGTTTCCTTTTCCCATGTTTTCAAATGACTTTTATACATCTTAATACCATTTATCCTTTGAGCTATTCAGCTGGAAAGAGAAAAAGTTAAAATCATTTTGTGTCAGCCCTATTATGCCTTTTCATCTGAGCAATGGTAAGAGGAAAATGATCATTTAGGTCTTTAGTAATAGTACCAACATTCATACTCTGGCTTCCATCCTCAAAGTCAATTCAAGAACCATCAAGAGAACAGTGAATAAATTTTAAAAAAGACGGAATAGTAGAGAGGGAAACTGGATCAGGAGGTCACAACAGGAAGAGGGATCATAATTTCAACTTAGAGTTAAATACATTCTTATTTTCTTAATGTAGAGTCCGATAGTGTTATAAAAACCAAGGAGAATTCTAGTAAGATGCAATTTAATCATTTCTAAGATACGACGGTTCAAAGCTTAATCTAACAATTGAACAATTTTGCTGTTACAATTTTACCTTTACACACCCGGTGTGTGTATATATATATATATATATATATATATATATGATTATCATAATTATTTTTTAAATATGATTCCATCGCTACATAAGAGTTCTAATGTTTCAAAAACAGAAGCTAAAAACTTCAATTTAATTATAGATATTAAATTAAATTAAATTAAAGTACCTAGTTCTGTTTCATCCTCAAGCGAATCTTGGAATAACAAATTTTGAAACGGATGTCATCATTCGTTTGAAAATAGGTACCCACGAACCTACCTTGACTTAACCTCTTTTCGAAAGTAACTAATATGTAGATACAATAGTTGTCAGTGAAAATGTAAACTCTACCGTTCCTTATTAAAATAACTGGTTTTCTCCGTTTCTATAGAAATTAATATTATGAATGTATATGCTTATATAAGCTGCGTAAATTTCAAAATTTGTATACCAAAATTCGCTTGAAGATGAAACAGAACTAGGTACTTTAATTTAATTTAATTTCTATAATTAAATTGAAGTTTTTAGCTTCTGTTTTTGAAACATGAGAACTCTTATGTAGCGATGTAATCATATTTTTAAGAAAATAATTATCAGAAAGATCTCGACATTAGAGAGGCCAGGTTTTGTATATCAAACATCTCTCACCTGTTATCAACCTAACTTTATTTTAACTCCTAGCTACTAGAATATGGAAAAATGTAAGCATGCTGGAAAAACTAAAAACAAATAAAATTTCCCTTGTTTGCCGTATTTAATGAAAGAGGTTTAAAAGAAAGGTTGCTGCACACACACACACACACACACACACACACACACACACACACATATATATATATATATATATATATATATATATATATATATAGTAATAACATAAATAGTTATACTTGTATGGAAGAACCTTAGGTATTTTGTCTTGTAATTGCACAAACCAATGCCCAAGGAAAAATAAGGGATAAAAAGAAAGCACTAAGAACATGAAATTGAGGCGAAAACAATCGTCTAGAATTCCAGCTCAGAGTCCAAAGAAAACAAACAAACCTCTAAACCGAGTAAAGCAAAAAGTAATTGTAAAGTGCTTTACCTGGTTCTTTAGGTTTCATATATATATATATATATATATATATATATATATATATATATATATATATATATATATATATATCATGCTTTCTCTATAGCCAGTGACTTTTCTCGGCTATGTATACCTCAAGAATCCGAGAATCGAATGACATGGAAGAATTTTCAAAGACCATGCGTGTTCTAAATTGAAATGTGAAATGTTTTTAATAATTTGGTGATTGGGGGGGCTGACTCATCTTTCAAAATATAGGCCCTTCCTTCTTTAATATACTTTAAAGTTTGGTCCATAACAGAAATTCACTTGAAATAGGCACTTAAAACGTCAATCAAATGATGGCGTCAGCTACGGGCTTGTCGAGTAAATAACTTCCACTGGAAAAACAAAAGTATTTCCAACGC